GTTGGCCAGCAAACAAGCCAACAAACAGACAACACGGACAATGCATAACGGTACGAGTACGAGCTGTGTCCTGTTCCCAGACTGGGCGTGGCTGCATTCCTTTCTTTCGGCTAACCAAAACAAGGATATTGACACTTTTCATCTCAGACACAGACTTGGCCTCGACTTTATCTCAGGGCGAGGCAGGAAGAGATGGAATGGAGTCCTTCCCTGACTCTGCCTCCGAATCAGAGTCAGTTTCAGTTTGAAAGTTCCTCCGCTCAAGGACTAAAGGACATAACCATGCATATAAATTTGATTATTATTAAGGCGGGCACATTAGTAAGCATTTCTAATGACGGGCCGAAGGATCACTGAAAAGGGTCAGTGCCGCCCCTGCCCCTGCTTCCACATGTGTGTGTGTGTGTGGTGCATGTGGCCTGTGGCATGTGGCATGTGGCCTCGGTTTCAAGTTAATTTATAAATATGTACGTACTCAGGTTTATGGTTTTAAGTATTTAAATATTTTATTTAGCACACTTCTTGGCCTCAGACTGCGGCTACGGGTTTTTGGCCGCCTCCTCTGGTCCTCTCTGTCTCCGTCTCCGTCTCCGTCCCTGTCTCTCACTCTCACTCTTTCTCCTTCTCCTGCCTCACGTGTGCGGGTTTTATTCATAATTTATGCGTCCACAGGGCGACACTCATTCGGATCTGCACAGGAGTGTGTGTGAGGGCACTCATTAACTGGAGGGCTTTAATTTAAAGGGTAAGGAAAGACCTTTATTGCCCAGAAACACACTTAAATTTTAGTTAAATTTATACATTTTTAATATACGATTACAATCCTTACTTTCTAGATCATCTATCCTGGATTATGTGTCTCAAAAATTCTTAACAAAGGCCTAGTTCTGTCATGGAAGGACTTTGGAAGTTTCGATCCATTCGAACTGCTTTTCCCTGCTTTTTTCCATGGTATATATAAATATATTATATGATATATATACTCGTATATTCCTTTGAGTATTCCCAACCAAAAACCGCACTTTTCCATTTCCCATTTTCGATTGATTTGTTCTACAATCTAGAGGCATAATTGTTATATCTTCCACTAATTAATAAACAAAAATTGCCAAAAAGCCAATTGAACTAAGTGAAATGCATTTCACTAGCCCCCTGTCCCCTGCCCCCCGTCTCATAACTCCCCGTCCGCTGGTAAAACATTAATGTTCTGCCACCGAATCGACCTGATAGATGAAGCCATGGATGGCCATTGTTCCGATACTTAACCGTAGCCGTACTCGTACTCGTACTCGGCTTAGCGATTTCAATTATCGGCCATGTAGAGCGGGGCGTGGCAGGCAATGGGCGGGGAACGGGCGACCGCCGATTAGCACGTGCCGCTCGTTCCGAGGTAGAGGTCGAGGCGAAGGTCGAGGCGGAGGCTGGGACTGGAAACCGAACTGTCGATGGCCACGTGACCCAAAGCGATACCGGGGGCACAGTATCTCGTATCCGAAGATAAACATAATTATGCAATGCAGCAAGGGGTGGGGAGCGGGGGGTGCATGGGTGCAGGGGTGCAGGGAGGGGGGGCTTTAGCCAATCTGATAACACGCAACGAGATTTGTCATCATCAAACAAAGTGGGCGTGAAAATTGCGGATGAAGCCGCCCCAGGAAGGAAGGCAGGATGCTTCGGGATGTTCGGATGCTGGGATACACGATGTAGGGCTTCCGGAGCGGATGCAATCATGTCTTCGGTGGCGTGTGCGCGAAATATCCATTGTTTGCCTTTCCCAGGACCTGCACCAGTGCCAGGACCCCCGGCCAGAAATACACGCGAATAATTGCCAGCGCAAGAGCAGGACAATAAAGATGCTCGTGGGCTAAGGACATTATGGCATTGATATAGCTGTGGCATATGCCACATCTCCTATCAGAGTGTGGGGGGGGGGGGGGGGGGGGGGGGGGGGGGGGGGCAGGGATAACTATTTTCGATTCTCGATTCTGGCCGCGTCTCTGGGCCTCAACACATTCCACTTTGTCTCTGACTTTGACTTTGCCTGTGTCTCAGCTTCTGGTTTTGTATCCTTGTATCCTTTGTCTCTGACCAGCACGTAGCCGCAGGCATACCCTTCCTGAGGGGTACACTAGATGCACTGAAGAAGGTATTTACCTTGTAACAGAGCCTCCATCTTCCGCAACTCGGACCCAGTGCCATTTAAGGCAATCTTCTTGTAGGGTATCCAAGTCTTTGGACTCCCGAAACTACACTTTCCCTGCTGGTTGCCTAGCAGTACTTTTGGCATTAAAGTTTCATTTGTCTGCTGGCCACTTGGCATGCGAGTCGGGCACTCGCCGAGGCCCGTCCGAGGCCAGGATACTAATCATAGACTAGCGCCATGCATCATCATCACCATCCTCCAGCCCCTACATCCTGGAGGATGTATCCTTCAACCTCTGGCCAGCGCGCACATCCTCATCAAGCTGATTGCGAAAAATCACTGGAGAAATCAGGCAGAGTTCGTGATGCCACACGAATGGCTGCCATGATGACATTTCTATGGTTAAGTGGATCCTGGAATGGTTTCCATTCCCGACCTCTGACTGACACTCACAAAAGCACATTTTTCGGCACTTTTTGGCACCATTTTTGTCTTTTTTTTGTGTGCGTGTGAAAAACATTGAAAATCAATTTTGTAATCAAAAGGTTTGTCTCCGTTGAGGGAGGTTGAAGGGAAGTCAACCCCCTCCCCCAGACACAAAAAAAGTGTCCATTATATACTTGATTATGTATTCGAAATATCTGTACAAAATTTGATTTGGATTTGGCTGCGTATTCTTTTCGTTCAGCTGTTTCAATTATTCATATTTTTCACAGTTCCCCGGGGATTGAGGCATTAATGGAAAAAGCCAAGAATAATCCAAATCCGAATGAACCACATGACCTCGATGGAGAATTTCCCCATCCTCTCTCTCTCCCCGGCTTTCTGATTGGCGGAGAACTACTCTCAGATCTAAAGTCTGACGAACAGCGGAATTATCGAGAAATAGTTCCACATAAATCAGCCGAAAACTAAAGACTATTTTTATACTTTAGCCAGGAACTTCGGGCCTTGTCCTGTCTTGGCCAATGGGGGCGTACTTTTGTCCCTGGCCGGCTGTCAAACATAATCACCTTGCCCACATCCTTGTCTCTATGTCCTGTCGTGTCTTGTCCTGTTCTGGGCTGCCCCACGAATCTATTCTCAAAGGAAATTTATGTTTTTTCTTTTTTTGTCTGTGTGTGAATGAAATATTTTATTTTTGTTGCCAGTTTTTTAACACATTTTGTAATTTCAACACGTTGCCACGTACCGCAAAAGTTTATTCCGCAACGAGTGTTGTGTCCAAAACACGGACACGGCCACGGCCACGGACTCCGTCCCCAACTCCGATTCCGATTCCGTTGATTCCGGACTCGGACTCAACTTCGGAGACAAATGATTAATGGTTCTCGGGGCTGGACGCTGCCAAATAATAAATCGTACCCAATCGACTGGGGAATATTTTTCCCGAGTAGGCGGCCAGAAATTTCGCTCTGTCACCATTTGCGGAAAAGGTTTTTTTGCTTTTCCTCCCCACTTTTTTGTTTCTTATTCAATTTTTATTCTTTTTGCCTGCCACAAAAACGCAACAAAAACGTGTGCGAAATTCAAAAATATTTATGTACTTTTGAGCGGTCAAAGCGAAACAAATGGCAGCAAATTTTTGGGATTTGTATGAGATTAATGTAAATCCATTGAATTGAATTTTGTGGATGGTTTTTTTTTTTACCAGATGTATGCCGTTCGATAGGCGTTTGGTAAACCCTATTAATGGAAGCGACTGTTAGCCGATGAATGCCTCTAAAGGTTTGGCTAAGAGTTTCGGAAGATTTAGTAGATTCTCGAACCGATTTGTCAAAGATTTAACACTTAATAACCATTAAAATCGCAATTGAAATCGTGTCAGTTCTCAACAGGTTTTTCGGCTAATTGCCTGAAGGATTTCCTGGAATATATATCTGTAAGCAAGCCGTTTTGTTTTGATTTTATTTTGCGAAAAAGAAAACAAAAATATCATTGTAAAACCAGTTTTGAAACTCTAACGGAACGTGTTTGTCCGAGCCAAAGATCTATTTAAAATTCATCTAATATTATAATTAGAAGACGCATGCCAGTCATTAAACCAATTCGGAAAGTAATATGTTAATAAAGCACCAAAATGATAGTTTTCTGCATTCCCCGATTATTTCGAGTGTATCCAATGTTTGCTGAATAGTACTGTGGCTCCACTTACATATGGAGCTTGCGGCGTCGTCTCTTTAATCAGGTTATTGCCCCAAAGCCAGAAGCACAAGCACAAGCAGAAGTGTTGGCCAAACCACGGACCCGCGAATCGGGTCAGTGGCAAGATCGAGCGGAAAGACAGTTGAGTGGCGGGGGGGAAAGTGGGGTGGCAGGGCACTTGGCCACGAACAACAGCCGGCCGTTCATAGGGAGCCAAATAACGCGAAATACAAATAATACGAAAACAAACAGAACAGAAAACATTTCCAGTTTCTGGTTTCCACAATTCGCGGGCTTTGCAGGCTTTTTCGTGTCTTATAATCATTAAGTTTAGGGGAATTTATTTTGGAACCCAGATGAGAGCGAGAGCGAGAGAGAGCTAAGGCTTATGAATCATTCGGTCTAACTTTATTTTTATGACTTTGAGACGCGACTTAAGAGATCTCTTAAGTTTTATCCGTAATTACGTTTGCGTTCTTTATTTTTCATTGTTCATTCAATGTTTTTTTTGTTTTCTTGGTTTCTGATGTATTTTCTTGGCTCTTCTGGTTGTTTGACAGCTTCTGCCTGCCTCTCCTCCTTCTCTACCTTTGATGATGATGATTATGATGATTCGCACTACGTCAGCGCTAAAAAATTTCCATATAAAAGCGCTGCGATGTGGGCCCGCGGTTTAGTCGATTTGGAACTTTTTACGCGTTCGCTGCCTAAGTCTTTTGTTCGTTTCTGTGAGTGTGGCTTTCCCATAGATAGATACATATACATATATCTGTAGTACCTGCTTTGCTAATTGTGCGTGTGTTTGGTTACAGATCCACCATGAAATACGCCTTGATTGCTCTCGCCCTCTGTGTGGCCTCAGCGGCTGCTGCCTCTTCCGGTGAGTGCAAGTCCCCCTGTCCCTCTCTCTAACTCTGACGGTGCAATTACATCATCGGAGCGACTACGGATAGTCAAGGCTGTTGTTAAACGATTATCATGTATATTATTATTTAATTTAATTAGCAAGTCTTTGGGGGTAAACCGGGTATGTTAATCCGTTAGCCCGAAAACCCATCGAAAATCCATTAAAAATATCAATTTTAAAACTTGTTCTGTGAAATTCGGTTTTTGCGACAATGTTTGTCGAAACTTTCCGCATAGTAATTCCGGAATTATGAATAGTCAAGCAGAATTAGAGATTTCAAACAAGTTTCAGATAAAACTTTCGCAAAGCAAAAACAACCCTTTGGGATCCCCCCTTTAATATCTGGAGTAGCTATAATAATCTCTCGATCTTCTCCCACAGCTGGACAGTTCGTGCCCCGCGCCTTCTTCACTCTGGACTCCCAGGGCCGCCAGTCGGACGTGCATCCCGTCAGTGAACGTCTGCTGAGGCGTCTGCGTCGCGACGTCTTCAGCTCTTCGTCCTCGTCTTCGTCGTCCTCCTCCTCGTCCGGCAACGGCGGCAGCATCACCTTCGCCTCCCACTCCATTCATAATCCCGATGGTTCCGGACACATCGGCACCTCCTACACCCAGCAGGCGGCTCCAGCTTCCCTGTAGGTCCCCCCCCCCCCACTACTTGGAATATTGATTCTATTGAGATTTTGTTCCTTTCCAGGGGCGTGAACCTTGAGAGCCGTTTCGGCGAGGATTCGTCTACTGGTGCCTACAATCCCTCGTATACCGGATATGGCAGCACCACCGGCTCCCAGCAGTCGTACGGCAGCATCGTGCCCGCAACCCAGATCCAGCAGACCATCAGCACCTTCGACGCCTCTGGCAACCAGAAGGTGACTACCCTCCAGGGAGCCACCGACCACACTGGCGTCCTCAATGTGAAGAAGACGGAGATCCAGTATCCCGCCAACTAAGGGGAGTCCTGAATATATATATATATAAGTATATATATACGAGTGTTAACTGAAAAAAGAGGAAAACCGAGTGGAGTAAAGATGAATAAAGTAAAGTAATATAATAATAAAATAAATCATTCATTTGTCGAATATTTGTAGTCGTCTTGGACCGAATTTAGCCTTAAAGTAGTTGTTACCGATCTTAGGAGTCTAGAGAATGTGCATCGAATATCGTTATACGTCTCGGTATTACAAATTATTATAAAGTTGAATGACTGGAAATCCGGAAATGGTATAAATATTCTTTTGTTGTTCAGTTTGTGGCAGTGAAAGTATCATTTGTGATAGCTCCCAAATGGGACTTTAACGAGACTCTTGCGATATCTTTTTTCGAGACTTTTGCGATATCTTTGGGAGACTTTTGCGAGACTGTTTTGACATCGCAAAAGGCACGCTTGTTGTTTTTTTTCTGGGGGTTGCTGTCTCCCCATCTCTCTCTCCCTTTTTTTCCTTTTTGGGTGTGTGTGTGTTGGGGGTCAATTAATTGATTCCAAGTGGATGCCCTGCCACGCCCTCAGCCAGTGTCAAAAGCTTATTCATTGCGGTGGCTGCATGTGCTCTCTTTTTACTCGCTTTGCACACTTTAGATGATTGCATCCCACATGCATGCCACACATGCCACACACTGCACAACGTTCGTTCCACCCAACATCCTGCTGATCCTTCTTCTGCCCTTTCGTGCTTAATCTCGCAGCAAAAACAACAAGAAGCGACGGGGGAGTGGGGCAGAGGCAAAAGCGCAGCCTGCTGCTCCGCTGAGCACAAACAATTGCCTGTGGGCGGTGCCGGGGCTGGCCGAGTGGGGGCGTGTTAGGCAGTGTTGGTAAAGGCTTTTAGCGTATTAGTTCAACGAAGCGGAATTTCATGCCTGCTGGATGCTGCACTGCCTCCAAAGGCAACGCTTTTAGCGATGATTAAAAACTATTCAATTACAACAACTACAACAACTACAACAAACTCCTGTAGATGACAAAAACTATAAATTGGAAGACATCTTTAATCAAAAGGGATATGCCGACCAAGATGGATTAAGCGAGCAGCAGGGAGGAGAGGGGAGGGGAGGGGGAGTGTGAGTCCGGACAAGATATGAATATGGGATTTGCTTGGGGAATTGCTCAAATCTCAACAGGTGCACGCACTTTCCAGCAACACACACGCCCCCACACGACCCGCCTTCGCTGTCAACGGCCTTTGCCGCATGCAAATGCTGAAAAGTTTTGTGGCAACACACAACAGAGCGAGAGAGAGAGAGAGAGAGGGAGAGAGAGTGGTAGACCGAGTAAGACAGCGAGTGGCAGGCAGCTTCTGAAAAGTTCTTAATTATTATAATTAATTACTTTGATCTCTGACTGCGGCCTTCTCTGCTCGCTGCTATTAATTTACTTGATTATGTTGAGGTTTTTCCAAGCAACTCCTGCATCCTGGATGCTCCCCACCCGCCCTGACTCTTGTTAAAATGTATCTCACATAATTGAGAAAGTGTAATGAATTTACTCGCGGCACCCGGCAGCAGGAGCAACTTTTCCTGACTGTGATAGATTTTCATTAAAGTGGCACTCGTTCGCATGTGGCAAAAGGATGCGCTGTGGCTGTCAGGCAAAGAGGATATTTACAATGAAGGCTCCTTTTAGCTATAAACATGAGTTGCTTTTTAAGCAAAAACATTTTTCACATGTGCTGCCAACATTCCATATTTTTTGTACTTTTTTAATGACTCTTATACAAGTTTATTTATTCGAAGTTCATGGTCTTTATTTTCAATTCGATGAATCAATCATAGATCTTTCCTAATCACATATGCAATGTCTTTAAATATGAAGATTTAATCATTTCCCACTTAAAGCTCTTTCTCACGCTGTTGATCAACTTTGAATAAACTTTCGACAAGCTTTCAGCAATTCTAAGTCGAAGCTTTCAGTTTTGTATAGTAGCTTTCGATAGCCTCAATGAGGCGGGGCTTTTCTGTGAGAGCAACTTAATGAAAGCTTCATTCGACAAAGGGAGTGGGAGAGACCAGAACATGCCTCCAGTTCGCGTGATCTGAATAATCGATGAAACGGTACTGCCAACAAGAAAAAAAAAACACAGCAAAAAGCAGGCCACTTCTACTTCCCCCCTTTGATCAGCAGAGAGAGACAGAGAGAAGAACAGCAGCAATCACTGATTGATGGGGAGTCAAGCGGGAGACAGGAGACAGAAGACAACATGCGGCTTCGCATTGTCATCGGCATGGGGCGCAACAAATTAAGCGTCTTGTGTGGTCGTCATCAGCGAAACGCGGCAACATCAGCAGCGGCAGCATTGCGGTAGATCGACGCCACCTGGTCAGAGTAGGCCCCAAACTGAGCTCCAACTGCAGCCCCAGCACCGAGTCCGAGCCTTAGTCCAACTCCGGAGAGTGACCACCGCCGGCGATGCCTAAATTCAGTTGGACACGAGCGCCAATGCAGCGATCAAGTGACATTTTATTGTCGGCAAACGCTGGACGGCTGTTTTTGCTGGTGCCTCTGTTTCTGGTGCTTCTACCCTGTACTTTTAGAGCGCGAGGGTACATGGGTTTCCCTAGAAACAGGTACAAACAGCTGCTCCTAGGAATCAAGCTACAGTTACCTTCCAATTATCCCAATAATTTAATCAATTTGAATCTTTCAGTTTCGATCATGGGGTATCCTTTAGTCGATGCCCTCACTGGGAGTGCTCTCATTTGTGGCTGCTGCTTTAGCTATTTAGAGGCATGAAAGAAGCGACAGCAACTGAGCCTGAGGCCGAGACCTGAAATTGGCTCTGAATCTGGCTCTCAGGAGTCCTCACTTGGATAATTGACAAGAATTAATTCATTCCATTGATCGGTGAGCGTTGAAATGTCGCAAATTTAATTATTGAAGTCGCGCTGCCAGTCCAATCAGCCTCCGAGACTGTGGGTGGGCGCACGGATGCCAATAGAGAGCGGCTTAAGCGGCTCTTTCCATTCCATTCCTTACCCCCCCTTCCGCTGGCCGGAGGACAGTCCAGCAGTCGTTCATTCCCTGGCCTTTAAGTAAAACAAACAAGATGACAAAAAGGAGTACGAATGGATTGAAGCGGGGAGGAGTGCAGTTCAGGTGGAGTGCCGCCAAACGAGAACCAAACAAAACGAAAATGTTTCCTGACAAATTTCTGCCATTTCAGCTGGAGCCAGGAGATGGATGCCCTGCCTGCCTGTAAAAAAAAAGCTAAAAAAAGAGAAGGAAATTCAACGATTTGTGCAGTCATCGGAAGCGGAAGCAGCAGCAACAGCAGCAGCACTGACAGAGGCACATCCTCTCTCCATCCTGATGAGCTAGTGACGAGGACGACAGGCAGTCCAGTCCTTTGGAGTTGATGAAAAAGAGCAGAGTGGAGGCGAACGAAGGACTAATGTGGTGGGGATTGTCGCTCTTACTGTTGACTTAAATCGTTTAGGTAAAGTTAAACAACTTGTTCCGTTAATTGTTAAACAATGCCCAGGCAGCAGTGTCTCCTCAGTTCTGGACTCCTCTCCACTCTCCACTGGACATTCGGCAGAATGGGCTCTGCTCTGGGAATAATTGATGGGAAAACTGAAAGCCGGCAAAAGCGATGGAAACGACGCGAATGATGGAAAGTGCAGATGAAAAAAAACCCGCTTTAAGATGTGAGGACACGGAAACAGAGATTTCAGATTTACCTGCATTTTGGGCGATAACTTTAAGGCTGATACCAGGTCAAATCAGAAGAATCTTTCTTGGGATCAGACAGTGAAATATTCTGTTATTTTGACTAGGAGTCCATTCCATTTCATTCCTTTTTAACCTTTTCTTCCAACAAGTATAATTTTCATAAATAATCGCATTAAATGTTGTTAACTTAGTTTTTCTCGAAATTTTTGGGCTCTTGAAATATAATTGATGTTGCTAATGAACCTTTTTTCATACAATATGTGCACTTTTCCGACATTTCCCTTATTTGTTACTCTTTTCCCTTTCAACCGAGTGGATGGGTGGGCTGGGATGGGATGTTTCAATGGAAAAAGGGTGAAAATGCTGCCGAAAAGTAATGGAAATAACCAGAGGAACAACCAGCAGCAATGGCATCTCCATATGCACAAGTAGATTTCCGTTGCGTGTCCCTTGGGGATACATACATGCTTCCCTTCCATGCCACCAGCCTGACCTCTCGCCCCCCAATGGGTTGACAAAAAGGACAAAAATACTTACGCATATGGAGGATAAATCTAAATTTCAAGTTCAGTTCTGTCAGTTTGCCGCATGTGGCTGAAGATTGATAATCCTATTGATGTCTAAGTCGTGCAATAATGGGAATAAGAAATTCGATATGATATTTGAATTGTTTAGCCAAAAATTGGGGGACCAAATCTGCCTTAAACATGGCTTACAGTTTTTCTTCAAAAAGGAATTACAAAAAGTTTTTGTCCAGTCCTTGAACTTTTGTCCCAGTCTTAGAGTATATGGGATACCCATTAATGGGGCTTAAATCTTATTTTCAAAAGTTTGATATTTAATTTAATAATTATAATACTAAATATTCTTGAATGTTATGCTTACAATAATGTTGTTTAACAAAACTAAAAATCTTTGAATTTCCACATTTCACATTCGAAAAGCAGAACAAACTGAGCGCCCGCCAGTCGGTAAAGCAGTTTGTACTAACCTTTCGCCGCTCTCTTCGGTCTGTGCCTTTCTCTTTGCCAATGGGAATTTCTCTTAGCCATTCTTATTGGTGACTCGTCCACCGAGACACAAAGAGAACGAACAGAACACAAGAGACATTTAGAAATTAAAACAGCACACGGGAATACGGGAAAAAAAGGAAATAAAATTTATATAAAATGTACCCACAGCTGCGTAGAGCCCCTGAAAAATCATGTAAATTTCCTGAAGCATCGAAAGATCTTTCCCGGTCTAAATTATGGACACGTTTCCCACTTCAAATTTGTCGGGAAAAAAATAAAATTTATTGCGGCAAAAAGGAGAACAAAATTAAAATGCATTACAAACAATTTGTTCTCGATGAAATCTGAGGGGGGTGGGGTGGGGCAAGGGGAGGGTTGT